TCTGGACTGTAGCACTATCGAGTAATCTTTTAAGGTTTAAAGGCAAAGTTGAACTGGGTTCCGGAATATTGTGACTTCCCATGGGTTTCTTTCCTCTCGGTTCATCTGTCTCCAAATCTGATGAAAGTAGGCGTTTAGGCAGCTTTCTGTTGCATGGTTTGCTGTAGTCTATATCAACATCTGTTGCAGCAACTGTATCTTCTTTCACAGCCTTGTTTCTAGCTTTTAGGCCAACATTGAAAGTAGCTGTATGAAGGAACGATGAAACAAAGATTAAATTGAAAAAAGAAAATTGTACTATAAAAAAAACGGGTATAAAAAACCTACAATAACTGTGATGGTATATAATGGGGAGGAATTCCCAACACGGACGAATCATAATCTGCTACTCATTACCAACTTCATACATTTCCCCCTCATAGAATGTGGTGGATAATAACAGAATTGTCTATCCTCGCAAATCCACTTGGTTGGTACAACTTTCACAAGGATTTCCTCTTCATCACATCCAGGGTCAGATACAATCTCTATCACAGAATACTATAAACAATAAATCATTAATTAACATAAAAAAAGAAAAGCAAGAGAATACATGGTAAATGACAAATAAAACCTCACACAAAATTTACTGAGAACCACTATGAAGGAGAGGAATGCAAAGAAAACTATCTTCATCAGGTAAAATAACACATTTCTGAAAAAAATTCTGCAACCTACACATGCTTTTTACAGAATCTACATGTGACACCTTACAAATTCCAATAGATGAGGAAGGAAGTGGATAGTCATTGTAATCTGCTTTACAAAGAAACCTATGACCTGCTAATAATATATCACCATTTGGTGAAACTATAACTTCGGTTAAAATAAATATCTTTCCATCAATTGATAAGAAACAACAATTAGTTTCATTAGTTGTAAGAGTTATACCCTTTAAACTTATTTGTGCAAAGCGGTCACCAGGAATTTCTGGAACAATATTTCCAAACAATTGCTTCTTTAAAATTACTTTATTCGGATTTAGCCTTCTTGATTCTGTAACAAGTTGCGCCTTTGTCTCAATGTCCCTGTTAGCTAACTGCTGGAGAGGCTTATAAGTTGAACGCAAGTGATGTTTAATAACAGCCATAAAAGACTCGTACTTAAAGGCACTGAAATCCAAAATCGTCCCATTTTCCCGGCATTCAGCAGCCAAGTGACACAGACAATGCACATTGTATACCACATATGATTCATCAAAAACTTGTGTGGAATGCCAGATAAACTCACGATATATTTTATCAGCAATAACAATCCAATTATTGCTTTTGACTAATTCAGGAGACAACAAAATATAAGATGCAGAATGAATCAATAGAAAATTAAGTATCGAAAATTATAATATCGTATCCCATCATACAAAAGAAGACGTCTCCACTCAGTTGCTTTAAACTTGGACTGATAATACAAAGATCTCGGTCTACGATTGAATTCCATGGGGATCCAAGGAGCAATGTTAATCATATTAGAACACAAGTTGAAACGTGCTAGTCTTGAGGTTTTACCATATGTGACAGTTTGATATCCGCAGAGATATTGAACCCATCTTTTAAAAGCACCTTCAAATAACAGATGCATTGGATCTAAACGAAACTTTGAAATCATTCCATTGTTGCCACTTCTCATGGCTTCTAAAGGTGAATTTCCATCATGATAATCAGGTTGATCTTTCTTCTTAAAAGATTCATCTGTGCGCAATGATGCATTGAGATCCAGAAAGATTTCACGATTTCTAAAACGCGTACCTTTTACTGTGCATTTTTCACAAGCATAAGTACTATTGTGGCCTGATATATATTTCACATATTGCCGTGCAACAGCATCGAGTATGTAAGACCTGGGATTCTAAAGGGAAAGCAGTTGCCATGGAAGTTATAACCATTCAGTGCTAATTCATCAACTTCATGAATAAAGTCCGCTAAAAAAGCATTAATATTGTCTGGTTTTCCGGGTGTATATCAGTTGGACACGGGGCAATTGGACACAGTCCAATCACAAGTCGCTGTTCCAAGGGACCCTACAAATGTCTCTAATCACACGGTGCTGTGATTGGCTGTGTCCAAATGCACCGTGTCCAAGTGCACCGCTCCCTGGTTTTCCAATACCATGCCACACACCTATGATAAATGGTACAGCTTCTCCTACAAGGCACCCTAGTATAGGCCAGAAATTATCATCAGTACTGTCAAATAATGCCAAACCATCAATGTTCACATCAATAGCAATTTCTTTGTATTCAAGCAAGTAATCATCCGTAACCCTTTGATTTAAATTAGCAGTAATACTTTTATATCACATTGAACCTTCACCATTATGTCGCAATTCAACTTTGCGTGAGGTTTGCAGTAAAGTTTCATGAGATTTTGGTAAAAAAGTATAGAAGGGTCGTAACCCTCTAAGAAGCTCATCAACTTTTCTATGTGCGATACCTCTCATTGCCCATCTTTTCAGAAACTTAAACAGATATTCTTTGGGATCATCTATTGACTGTATGTTATTCTGCCCAAGGAGAACAAAAAGTCATAATAATGTCAAAATGATATCAAAAAGACGTCAAAATGGTGGAACTCACAATGACGTCAAACCGGAGAAAAAAATGACTATAATTTGACATCATTTTGATGTCATTTTGATGTCATTTTGACTAGTACACCATTGATTTGTATTCAGTATTGGGAAAAGCAGTTTCACGAATGCAGAGGTGAAGGAACAATACAGAAACAAATTACAATTACTTTTTATTATAGTGCTTTTGTAGTACACATTATTTTTATCCACAAGAAGAAATATTATATAAACTATATCAATAATAACTAAATTAAAAACTATATTATGTTATATAAACTGCATATATATATAAACGCTATATTTATATTACATTATATTAACTCTGAGGACGGATATCAGTCCTCTTAAAGACATACAGAATACGCAAAAAAAAATTGAAAAGTCCTCCAAATATAGTATCTCAAAATGCCATCTGTCAACAAGATTCAGAAAGAGTTGAAGATTCAATCTCAAACATAAGCACAGTTCAACTTAAAAGATATTTTGCATTTCAAACATTTGAACATTATAGAGAAGTCTTGTTACTTTACCAAGGGATACAAGAGATAACATAGATCTTTC